TCTACATTTATCATCACGCCTCCTGTAATCTGGCTCGCTACCTGAAAATACCAAATCTAAGTCAAAATTAGGTATCGTAGTCAAAAAAGGATTAAAATGGTCGAACTGGAACGCCGAGCTTTGGTAACCTAGCTTTATGAAGACGTCTGAATTCTATCATTTAAGCTGAATCACCAAAGATCGGAGAATGTTCTAGAATGTGGGATTTTTCCAACTTACCACCGGATTTCTGGAATTTTCCAATAGAAATAATAGTTTTTAGAAGATTCTAGAAATTCCGAATAAATAGAAAATTCGCGAAGAATACAAAAAGCAGAATAAAATGAATAAAATCGGTTGTAGTAGGTAGGACACCTTGTTCTATCTCTCTCGACGCAAAACGGCAATCGAATGACTACTGGGCGTCGATTTGTATGGGGGGAAACAGATATAGGCTCCGCCCACTTTTTCGGCAGGGGTGGACCGTTAGAGATGGCGTCTCGAGATACACGTCTTCTCGGCAAGGTCATCTTAAAAGGAAGAGGTGGAAGAAAAAAGATAGTATCAGATAGGAGAAGGAAGATAGGTGAGGAGATAGGCGAGAGGAGGAGATGACACGTGGAGAGAGAGAGAGAGAGAGAGAGAGAGAGAGAGAGAGAGAGAGAGAGGCGCAGAGAAATCTCCTCGGTGTCTTCTTCTGACCTGAATACCACACAGTGATAAGAGACAAATGAGAAAGAATCTAGGTCAAATGATTATTGCTTCCGGAATTTAGGAATTTGAAGAAAAGGGAAAAGAAGAAGAAGAAGTTGTTAAGTTCAATGAGAAATTCTGGAAAACCCAATATTTCTGGAAACTCAAAAATCAAGAATTCTGGAAGATTCCGGAATTCCCAAATCGAGATTTAGAAAAGCATCAGAAAATAGGGAACTCTGAAATTTGAAAAGTTCAGAAATTCAGAAATTCAGAAATTCAGAAATTCAGAAAAATTTCCGAAAATTTGAGATTTTCAAAGAATTCTAAAATCTAGAATTTCAGAAATTCCAGAATATTCCAAACTGCCTAAAAATTAGCAAATATGAAAAGTTTTGGAATTTCAAAATTCACAATTTTGAAGATTTCTAAAATTCATGTGATTTTCCAATATTGAAAAAATCACTGAACGAAAAAAATTTGGTTTGCATTTTCTAAATTTTCTAAATTTTGAAAAAAAAAAGAAAAATACGGAAGAAGCCCATCCAACCGTTAATTTTGAGCTTAATTATCTCGGTTCCTGTGAAAGATATCAAAAAGTAGTAAACTGATAAAATATTAGCCATGCTATGATTAATATTTTACCAGTTAACCACTTTTTGATATCACTTACAGGAAATGAGATATATGAGCTCAAAGTTGAGGCTGCAAAAATCTCCAAAAGTTAGGAAAAATGAGGAGGAATTGTTGAAAATTTTTGTGGAAAATTCTTCTTTCTGTTAGTGATGGCTGATGAGAAATAGAAAAGTGGAAAAGTCACGACATTCGAGTGTGTGCTCATTTTTGAAAATGAGCACACACACACTCTTTCTCCCATCTGTTTGCTTTTGTTTCGGAGAAAAATAAGAAAAACGGGCGGTGAAAAAAAAAACGAATTCAGTGGAAAAAGAGAGAGAGAAAGAGAGAAAGAGAGAGACGTAGACAAAAATTCTGAAAATCTGAAAAAATTCAAAAATGCGAAAAGCGTTGAAAAAAATGGCTCAAAATTCCAAAAAAAAAAAAAAGTAAATGTTTGAAAACCGAGTATTCCGAGATATGATATGAATTCAGAAATTCAGAAATTCAGAAATTCAGAAATTCAGAAATTCAGAAATTCAGAAATTCAGAAATTCAGAAATTCAGAAATTCAGAAATTCAGAAGAAGGATTATTAGAAATGCTTCTTTTTGAAGGACGCCGAGGATAACTAGTCAAAAAACTATGAAAGTTGGTCCCGTGACGAAAACTACCGTAACCCGGAAATTGTTTTTTATCCGGATTTTTATCGATTTTTCTGATTTTTCTTCTTCAAAAATATTCGAAAAATCAATTTTTACAGTAAGAAATAATCCTGGAAAAAATGAGTAAAAAAGATTTTTTAATCAAAATTTCAAGTTTAAAGCGAATGAAAGCTAAAAATATCATTTGGCTATATCACATTTGAAAACTTCTGCGCGATTTCTCCGCCTAAATAATTCTTCTTGTGATAAAAGATAAGTGTTGAGTCACGAAGAACAAGCATTGTCTGGTGCTGCTCCGCTTTCTTGCTCATTCGTCAATAATGAGCAGAAAAAAAAAGAAAAAGAGAAAATGGTTGTTTTGTTGTCGGAGAAAAAAAGAGAGATTAGTTTTTCTGATTTGTTGCTCACTGGGTTGGTGATTAAATGAAATTGAGAAAGGCGGATTATATGAAAAAATTCAAAAAAAAAGGTCAAAATACCGTAAAACCTGTAATAGAAGGGCCCTCTAACTTCTAACTTTCAGCTCAAACATCTCATTTTTCGTAGAAAGTATCAAAAAGTGATAAACTGATAAAATATTTATCATAACATTACTAATATTTTTTTAATTGACACATTTTTGATATCTTTCACAGGAATCGAGATAAATTGTTTTAAAGTTGACAGTGTGGGGGTCCTTCTACTCTACTGCAGGTTTTACGGTATTCGATTTTCAGAAATTAAGACGAAATCTTTAGAATTTTTCGAAAAAAAAACCAAATAATTGAAAATTTTTTCAGAAAATCTCGAAAAATGTTATTTTTTTCACAAATTATTTTTTTTTTGAATTCCTTTAAAACATCTAAAACAACCAAATAAACTGTGTCATCGTCATGATTTGAACGAAAAAAAAAGAAAAATTCGGAGAAAATTTTGCTAATTAGTAGTCAGAAAAAAAGGAAAAAAAAATACTTTGTTGTACTTGAAATTGAATTTTTTTTCTGATTTTTTAAACAAGTATTTTGAAGAATGGGATTTTTAAAAATTGGAAACTGAAAAAAAATTTCAGGTTATTTGGAATTTTCGATAATCCCGATCTTTTTTGGAATCCTTGCCCATTCAAACATTGTCAAATTCTGAAATTGGATTTCTGGATTTTTTCAATTTTGTGAAATTTGAAACTATTGAATTATTTTTATTTCTGAATTTCTGAATTTCTGAATTTCTGCATTTCTGAATTTCCGAATTTCTGAATTTCTGAATTTCTGAATTTCTGAATTTCTGAATTTCTGAATTTCTGAATTTCTGAATTTCTGAATTTCTGAATTTCTGAATTTCTGAATTTCTGAATTTCTGAATTTCTGAATTTCTGAATTTCTGAATTTCTGAATTTCTGAATTTCTGAATTTCTGAATTTCTGAATTTCTGAATTTCTGAATTTCTGAATTTCTGAATTTCTGAATTTCTGAATTTCTGAATTTCTGAATTTCTGAATTTCTGAATTTCTAAATTTCTAAATTTCTTTTTTCTGGATTTCCAGAATCTCTGAAATTTCAAAAATTTAACTTCTGATCATCAATCACAATCCGATCTCACATTCAGCAATTTTATCAAGTTCTTCTTCTTCATTTTTCCCTTAATTTATCCCAAATGTCACTTGATATCATGTCAAACTGTCTGCGTCTCTCCTTCCCCACACACTATTTCTCTTTATCATTTATCAATTGTTTCATTCAATACGATACGGATATATACATTTCGAATCACAATTTGTCCATGAAAATCGAAAATCTGATAAAAATGATAAAACGGGGAATATTGAATTTAAAATTTTCAGATTTTATTCTTTTCAGAAGACGTTCCTACCTGAATCTACAAAATTTTAGTGTCCAAATGGGTTCCAGATGGTGTAGAAAAGAATAAAAAAGAAATCTGCGTTCGGGGGAATCGAACCCCCGTCGAATGCTTGGAAGGCATCCATGCTGACCATTACACCACGAACGCACGCTATGTTCTAAGCTTCCAAGGCGTACATATTGCGGTGGCTGCCGCCGCGCCTGGCCGCTGATTTATATACGACAAGAGGATGAAAGTTTCAACATGCGTTCGTGGTGTAATGGTCAGCATG